GCACAGTGATAAACAGTGTTAGTGAGGAGGTGTGTTACAGTCCAGCAGAGGGCAGCACAGTGATAAACAGTAGAGACAGCACAGTGATAAACAGTGTTAGTGAGGAGGTGTGTTACAGTCCAGCAGAGACAGCACAGTGATAAACAGTGTTAGTGAGGAGGTGTGTTACAGTCCAGCAGAGGCAGCACGACAGTGATAAACAGAGTTAGTGAGGAGGTGTGTTACAGTCCAGCAGAGACAGCACAGTGATAAACAGTGTTAGTGAGGAGGTGTGTTACAGTCCAGCAGAGACAGCACAGTGATAAACAGTGTTAGTGAGGAGGTGTGTTACAGTCCAGCAGAGACAGCACAGTGATAAACAGTGTTAGTGAGGAGGTGTGTTACAGTCCAGCAGAGACAGCACAGTGATAAACAGTGTTAGTGAGGAGGTGTGTTACAGTCCAGCAGAGACAGCACAGTGATAAACAGTGTTAGTGATGAGGTGTGTTACAGTCCAGCAGAGACAGCACAGTGATAAACAGTGTTAGTGATGAGGTGTGTTACAGTCCAGCAGAGGCAGCACAGTGATAAACAGAGTTAGTGAGGAGGTGTGTTACAGTCCAGCAGAGGGCAGCACAGTGATAAACAGTGTTAGTGAGGAGGTGTGTTACAGTCCAGCAGAGACAGCACAGTGATAAACAGTGTTAGTGAGGAGTTAAGTTGTGTAATCACGTCTTTAAGTCATAGATACTTACACTTTACGACTCTTTTGTCTGCAAACCAGCAGAGCGGTGACCCCCACCATCATGACGACAAGGAACATGCCGGCACTGACACCCTCGATCACGCCGCTCAGAGGCTCTGAGGGAGGATACACAACGTTTTTATTTGTGGACATTTATTTGGTTTAAATGAAGACGTTAATGTCTGACGGGCAGCGGACCGGCCTCGGTGACAATGGGTAGTGACAGGTAGGTGTCGCTGTACAGAGGAGAGGCTCTCTGCTGGTCATCAAACAGCTGAGTGAACGCTCGGATGCTGAGCCTGCAGACACACAGAGAAAAGGTATGCCAAATACATCTAAGTTCAAAGTTCAAATGTTTAATCATCATATGCAAAGCCACAGTAGTTATGAAATGAGAATCTGAAGTCCCAGGCTTCTCCAACAATGCAACACAAATATATAGGACAGAAAACTATAAAATAGTGCAGGAAGAAACAGAGTAGAAATAAAATAGTGCAAGAGAATGTTGACAGACTAATGTGCAATTAATGCAGGAAAATTACAATAACCCTCTACCCTAAGTAAAATAGAATAAGATCAGCTAAAACTAGATGTAAAATGATATACTATACAGTAAAATAATGCTCTGCTTATTGTAATAATAGATATGTGAGATACGAACAGATGAATGCTATGGGTTTCTGAAGGCAGAGACCTCAGGGTTTTTAACATCCTTTGGACGCTTGATTATCAGGGTTGGGAGGGTTACTTTAAAAATGGAATCCGTTAAATATACTAGTTACATGTAAGATGATGTAATCAGTAGTAATCAATAGCAATGTAATCTGAGCCAGTCTTTTGTTTTTTGTTAAAATTGCCAAATATTGTCACCTAACCCTGACCTCCTAATCCTGACTACAATTCCCACCAGCCTCTAAAGAGACAGAGAGATGGGTAACCTGTGCGAAAGACTACACAACGTCCAGAAAGAGGATCTAAGATTTGTTTGACTATTCTAAAGGTGGTTTTCTTTGTTAATGTGTGAAAAGTTTATTATTTTATTTTTGATTAAACCCAAGTCGTACATTATGAACACATCAGCGGGAGCCAAGCAAGTGATCACAACTAAGAAAGAAAGTGTAAGGCGTCTAGTGGCCTGTTCATTAAACACATGAGATGGGTACCTATATGCAGTTCTGGGTTTCAGGGGCCCGTCACAGAACTGGCCGGTGCTGCTCTCTGCTGGTTGGACGTCTCTGCGCTGACAGGGCCCGCCCAGGGGAGGCGCCCCCGAGCCCAGAACCAGCTGGAAGCTGTGCTGGCTGCTGTCACTGCAGCTGCTGGGGAAGAAGCCCGTCTGGAAGCTCTTTATGGAACTGTTGAATTTATAATCCCGATAGGAAGGAAGAGGATGCTGCTGCTGAGGCTGCTCGTCTTCATCACCTGCAGAGACACCAGACACAGGGTGATGAAGAGCTGCTCGTCTTCATCACCTGCAGAGAGACCAGACACAGGATGAAGAAGAGCTGCTCGTCTTCATCACCTGCAGAGACACCAGAGCTGCTCCTCTTCATCACCTGCAGAGAGACCAGACACAAGGCGATGAAGAGCTGCTCCTCTTCATCACCTGCAGAGGTCAGCATACAGGGACCAGACCTTCTTTAGGACAGCACACAGGGACCAGACCTTCTGTAGGTCAGCATACAGGGACCAGACCTTCTTAAGGTCAGCATACAGGGACTAGACCTTTTTTAGGTCACTATACAGGGACCAGACCTTCTTAAGGTCAGCATACAGGGACAGACCTTCTTTGTCAGCATACAGGGACCAGACCTTCTTAAGGTCAGCATACAGGGATCAGACCTTCTTTGGGTCAGCATACAGGGACCAGACCTTCTTAAGGTCAGCATATAGGGACCAGACCTTCTTTAGGTCAGCATGATAAACAGAGTTAGTGAGGAGGTGTGTTACAGTCCAGCAGAGACAGCACAGTGATAAACAGTGTTAGTGAGGAGGTGTGTTACAGTCCAGCAGAGACAGCACAGTGATCAACAGAGTTAGTGATGAGGTGTGTTACAGTCCAGCAGAGACAGCACAGTGATAAACAGAGTTAGTGAGGAGGTGTGTTACAGTCCAGCACAGTGATA